TAGAAGAATAAACTCATATTAGAATAAAGTTGTAATATAAAATACAGTCAGAATATTAAGAGAATAATCAAAATAATTCAAAAAAAGAGTAATGAGTAAAAAATTATATTTTGAAAATATTACAGAATGAAGTTAGAATATTATGACAGTAAGTTGTAATATTCCGACTTTATTCTTTATTTTGGCTCTGACACTCCGTTGTACAAAACTGTAAGAAATTAAAGGGAAGAATCATTTTTATATGTGTTTTATTTGTATTTTGTACAGTTTGGGTCTTTTTCTGGGGATGATGTCACAACAGAAATGATCAACAGTGAGAACAGAAGAAAGAACATCCAGTAAAAAAAGGACAAAGAGCAGAAATGTTGGTGATATTTTCCCTTCTGCAGACCAACGGAGACACCTGCTCAGGTGAGGATGTCGTGAGCCTGCTGCTCCACCAGAACCGTCATGTTCTTAACGTCGCCGCACCACGAGTCCAAACGCTCCTTCATGCCTTTAATCTGAAGCAGAAACCGGCGGTTTAGGGGTCACTTTACGTTTAAATCAGGAGGAAGTTTGAGGTTCTGAGATCGAGCTCCAACCTGCTGCAGGTCCAGAACTCTGGGCTGCACCCAGGTCATCTGGACCTTCTGGTCCACCTCGTCGATGTTCCCTTTGATCAGGCCCACAGACAGCGCCTTCATCACCAGCAGCTCCACCTGCAGGAGGAACGCAAACGTCAGCAGCCCAGCAGGCTGGCGGGAGCTAAGCTGCAGGAAACAAGCTAACCTCGTTGACGGGGATCTTTGCGCTCTGAGCGATTTCTGTGAAGGTGAGCTGTCGGTGATTCGCAGGACGAGTGAACGTCATCTGGAAAAACACAAACACCCATTATGACAAAATATCCCAGCAAAACCGTTCACATGCACACAACAGAACCGAGACGGGGACAGAAGTTTCCCAGTTAGCCAGTGAAATATTCAAGATGGCTGCCATGGTCAAGGAGTCTTTCCAGTTGACAACTGGTGTGAAACTCGCAAAAGATGTTTTCAGTCTTAGAATCTGATTTTTCTACATGTTATGACTTTAAGGTTTTATGAATAAAATGACCAAAGTCAAAAACAAATGATGTGACAGAGTTCACCCAGGTCATGAAACGGGTCACAGTTTAGAGCAGCCACTGGTTTAAAAAGCTCAAAAACGGCGGCCATCTTGAAAAATGGCCATCATGGTGAAATTGAAGTGAATTGCGTATGATCTTAGGGGTTAGCATGTTAATTTATAAACTTTATAGGCACACTTTAAAGACTTTTACAGTAATATTCTGAACTAACAGCTCTGATCAAACAGGAAGTAAAAAAACAACAACAACCCACCTCCATCACGCAGAGCAGCTGGATCTTCTGCATCAGTTTAGGTTCATGAGCTGCGAGGTCGGGCTGTGGGCAATGAGTGGAAAATATATTGACGCAAAACTGATCAACAATCAATGAAGTCCGATCAATTTAATTGGCTGCTTTTCAGGTTCAAAAGACATAAATTACACTTTATATCCTCTTGGAAACGAAGAGTTGAGTCACTAAAGGAGTTTTTTGGTCTATATGTCCAGAATGTGCTTTGATTTACATTTTTTAATTAAGGGAAACATACTTTGATGCAAATATGGAGGTTTTAGTGTGGAAATTGTTAACATAAAGTAGTAGCTTTTAATAAAGAGCGTTCGGCTGGTTCTCCACCTGCTGCCCCCATGCAGACTTGAAGCCCTGGAACTTCTCCACGTTCCCGGAGTTGAAGGCGTATAATGTGTCAATGAGCCACTGCTTGTCTGTGTTCCTCAGGGACTCCAGCACCGGATGCATCAGCTGCAGAGCAAACAGCAGGACAGTCAGCGTCCCGCCTGCGGAGCCGGACAATAGCATCGGTTTTCAGAGGAGAACCCACCAGCTCTCCGAAGTTGTAAACTCCCTCGCCCAGGAGTCCGGCCAGGCCCAGGGTGAACGCTCTCTCCTGCTTCTCTGTTTCTGTGGACGGGAAGTGAGTCAGAGACGGTTTTCTCAGCTTCAGCTGCTGTTGCCACGGTTACCGTTTCTCACCTGGAAGGTCTTTGATGTCCACGCAGCCCAGGTAGCGCAGCGCGTCCTTGTAGTAGGCGGCGTGGTTCCCGATGATGCGGTAATACTTGCTGGAGAGGTCGTAGAACCGTCCGTGGACCGACGTGACGCCGGGTAAGTTATTCAGCATTTCCTCCACCTCCTCTGTGATTTTCTGGAGGCGGAGAATGAGAGATGGAAGGATCAGCAACACAAACCATCTTCCTCATCCCTTCTCAATTGGTTTTTACGTTGTTGCTTTTATTCATTTTTTTCCTTTTTTAATTCTATATTTTCCTTTCATTTTTTTTCCTATTAGATTTTTACCTTTTTACTTTATCCTTTTATTCATTTTTCCATTTCTTCTCTTCATTCTCTCATTTTTCCATTTTTATTTGTCTTAGTTTTGTTATTTTTTCCCTTTCATTTGTTTTTATACTTTTTTTCTTTTATTTCTTTCTATTATTATTTTCCTCACTCATTTTTCTCATTTTCTTTTATTTATTTTTTGCAATTTTTTTATTATCCATTTATACACTTTTTTTTCTTTCGTTATATTATGTTTTTTTGTTGGTAAAAACAAAACAAAACAAAAAACCCACAACAGACTCATTTTATGGATTTTCAGTTTTTAACTTTTTCATCTTAATTTAATTTACCCCACGTTTTAACCTGATCTACATGAACCAATCAGCTGAGTTTTCAGAATCGTGCCTCAGAGCGTTTTAAATCTGCGTCACCTTGGTGGCAGGAAGGTCGCTGATCTCCAGCTTCAGGCTGCCGATGGACGTCTTGCAGAGAATCACGGCTTCTTCGCTGCTTTTCACCTGGATTGTACGAACACACAGCCGGAGCGATCAATAACACTGATCAGTAAAATTAACAGAAAAATAATCTGAGGTTTAACTGACCTTCTCTTTGGTCTTCTCCAGAAAAGTGATGGCATCTTTAGGATCTGAAAACCAAAAGAAATCATCTCAGTGAACGCAAAAAGAAGTGAGAATAAAACATCTGAAGAAAACCCGTCCTCTGGTTCTCACCTGGCATCTGCCTGGCGACGTAAAGGATGATTTCTACCAGAGACAGAGGGTTGATTCTGTGTTCGAAGTCACTGATGAAGTTTTCATACAGCTACAACGAAAATAGTTTAGATTAAAACCTCAGTTTCTGGTTCCTGCAGTAGTTCGAGTAACAGACCCTGTACGCCTCAGTGAGTCTGGATTTACCTGTATGAGGCCGTCTCCCGTTTTGAAGAAAGGATCTTTGACAAAGTCTGTTAACTTCAATGTCAACTGATGCCACAATCTGCAAAAAATAACAACAAAATCACCAATAATACCCAGAGAAATGCACAAACCTGCTGCAGATCAGCAGTAGAGACTGATCTACATGAATCAGCTGAGTCTGTAACTAAATAGTTACAATATGATTGTAACTATTTATTGCTTTTAAATACCAAACCTCAACTTCTCTTTATTAGTTTCTAATTACAATCATATGAAATTGTTTACATTTAGGGTTTGCATAGAAATTTGGTTGCAATCATCTCTATATCAAGAATTATATATATAAATAGAGAAATAAAAAAAATCATTGGTATTTAAAAAATGTAACTATGCAAATGAAAAGATAAAGCATAAAATATATTAAAAAAGAACAAAATTGACACCAAAAAATCTGTATGCTTAAAATCATTTTATAAAATATTGCAATAATGACAATATTGCAATATTGCATAAGAGGATCTATGACTAGAATCATTGGTATATAATGGTATTAAAAAACATAAAAATATGGAAAAATATATTTTAGAAATCATTGGTATTTTTCAAAAAGTAAGGAAACAAAAATTAAAGTGTGAAATAAAATAAAAAGAAAATTTCGACAGCTTAATAAATAATCAGTCTGATTTAAACCAGAAATAAACTCATTGTTTAATACTGCAACAATTTAATGAGTCAGATGTCCTTTCAAATGACCAAACTGGGTTTGAATGGATAAAATGCTGCATCTCTGCAGGTCAATAAATAGTGGCTGCTATGGATCACCACACATCGTAATAATACATTTTGGACAATAAATTATTTAACACCTTAATGTGATAAAACATAACCTGCATGACCTCCAGGATCAATAACTTTGAATTTCTAAAGAATTTAGAGATTTTCAATGTAGACATTTCAAATAAATGACCTAAAACATTAATATGAACTATAAAGTCCCTAAACAAAATTGTCCGTCAGCAAGTAGTAAATATTTTACATACTGAACTTAAATAAAAGCCTCCTCATTATTATATAGTGTGATTAAATGTTTACATAAACCATTACGATTAGCTTTTAATATTGTTTTTAGTTAGCTATCGTTAGCTCAATGACTCAGCGTGCCATTTAGAATCAATGGAGAAGCTAACGGAAGCTAAGCTAACAGCTAACTTTTTACCTTTTGTTGTAGAAATCCTCCAAAGCGTGCCACTCCGCCGCCATTTCTGGCGTGGAGCTGCTGCTCTGTTGTTGTTTGAGGTACCCGCTGACATCTTTCATGGTAGAAACAAAATAAAGATTTTTTTCAGGAAGAAAGCTGGTGAGTGTTGTTAAACTATCCGCTAACGTTATGTAGCTTTCTGTGCTCACAGTATGCGTCTGCGCAGTTGCACGTCGCAAAGGTGTATGGGAAGTAACATTTAGGGTCATATCAAGGATCCGTTCATCAAAAATAATTGTATAACCTAGCTGATGAAATGTCATTACGAGCTACAGAAATATGATAAGTAACCACGTGTTTGATTTATGTGTGTTGAACCGCGAATAAATCTAAACCTGACACAAAACACCACTGACGTATCCAAACTAACTTAATTGGGTCTTGTTGAACCTGCTAATCCAAGTTACCATGAATGTAGCATTTAAAAAAAGGACTACGGAAACATTTCAGCAGAAAAACTGACAACTTCCTTCACGTTGGCGTGATTTTAAAGGTTGCTAGGTGGTGTCGGTCTTCGTAAACCAACAGTACCGGATCCGAACCGAGCCTGCGGGATGGCTGGCTTGTCTTTAACTGTCAGACTGTTGTTTGGAGCGCAGGTTGAGTTCAGCAGCAGCCAGGACGATCCGTGCAAAAGGTTAGTGGACTGACAGATGAACTCTTCCACCAGAACAGCAATAATAATAATAATAATAATAATAATAATAATAATAATAATAATAATAATAATAATAATAATGCATGACACTGTGCTGGTTTTCTTTGCAGGTTTCGGTCCCTGCAGTTTGAGTCCAGTTGAAAGTTCAGGATCTTTGTTCAGGTACTTCTCTTGCTGTTTTTATAAATAAACCAGGATTTGAGTAAAGTACTGAAAAATTGTACTCAAGTAATAGTATAACGTAAAAAGATACTGAGAAAATCACCAATCATTTGATATTTAAAAATCCCATCATCAGACTCAAAAAAAAAGATATTTGGGAATCTTGGTATTTTAAAGACTAAAATAACAATTCATTTTACAAAATGACATCAGACAAAAGAAACATTTTCCATCATTTTATAAATATAAAACTTATGAAAATTTTCCAAAAATTTCAGGTGTGTGTCAATATTTGGTGAATTTTTGATTCAGACAAGATTGTTCTTCATTCAGTGAAGAAAGTCCAGAAATTTAACTCAAGTAAGAGTAAAGCAATAAAGTTAAGTATAATTTACAGCATGCCGTAGTTAAAAAAGTCTCCTAAAAGTACATTTTTTTCCAAAAATGACTCCGGTAAACAAAGTTACTACCAACTCTGACATTAGATAATCAGTATTATACCTGAGCCACATGTTTCCTCTTTTTCCTGGGCTGGAAAACAGCTTAAATCAGTTACAAAAACTTCTTTTCAGCAGAAAGTATTAATAAATTGACTTTAAATATGACATTCAAATGTAATAAGATTGAAATAAATCTGCTTGGTCTTTGTTTCTGTTTTGTTTTGTGAAGTTTTTCTGATAAAAATGTTCGGTTCTTCTCAGACAGGAGTCGTTTCTCCAGAGGATAATAATCCGAGGGCTGTTTGGTGGTGAATCCGTTCAGACTCTGCAGGATGTCGCCGAAAGCATCCAGAGCGGCGCTGCAAAAGTGTGGTGGTGATGGCTGGAGCCGGGATCAGCACGCCGAGCGGCATCCCAGACTTCAGGTGCAAATACTCGCCTCTGATTGGTAGACAGGAGCGAACCCGGAAATAAAATCCCGATTTTAATCTCAACTTTTTCACCAGCTGTTGAGTGTGGGAAGTAAATGACAAAGAATTATCAGCTAAAAATTCTAAATATTCACACAGAGACACTTTTTAAATTTTCAGATCTTCAGTAATGACTGGAAAATCCTTACTTTCAAATCTCCAATTATAAACCAGCCTCAACTTTGATTTATTTGTACTTAAAGGAGCATTCACACCAGCCCTGTTTGCTCTGCTTTCATCCAACTCCAGTCCGTTTGTCTAGAACGTTCGTAATCGGACCAAAACAGTGACCTCTGGTCTGCTTATAAGCCTCCATCTGGGTTCGAATGAAGTGAACTCTGGTCCGGTTTGAATGCATATGTGAACGCCAAATGACCAGATACTGCTTCAACAGCAGGAAGTGGATTACAACGTTGAATTACAAATCTGACGCCACTCCATTTTTGTTTACATTTGGTGGAGAAAGTTGCACTCAGAGTCTCCAGAGGTTTTTCTGTTGTTTCCTTTAGTAGTTTTTGGTGCAGCGCCCCCACAGGCCTGGAAGGGAACAGGTTTTCTAATTAGTTTGGTTCATTTGACTCAATCCAGCTTGAAAATGAACTGCAGCTGAAAATGTAGCAAATGTTGCAAATTTGGTTCCCAATAAATCCGAATGTACCGGACTATCAGATGTGAAAACAGCCTAAAAGAAGCTTAAATTGGCAAAGATTTGACTGTAAATGACTAAAAGCAACCAGCGACCTCATTAGGTATATGCATGTAAAATAATGGCTAAATGGATGGATGCCTGAAAGAACTGTTAGTGAGAAACCAGAACATTTTAAATGTCACATTTAAATTAAGGCTATTTACACATATAATTAATAAAAGTGGCCCATTTTTGTTCATTTCTGGACCTGCAGGTCTCCAGGCAGTGGCCTGTATGACAACCTGCAGCAGTACGACCTGTCGTACGCCGAGGCCATCTTCGAGATCGGATTCTTCCATCGAAACCCAAATCCCTTCTTCGCCCTGGCCAAAGAGCTGTACCCGGGTAACTACCAGCCCAACCTGACCCACTACTTTGTCCGTCTGCTTCACCAGAAGGGCCAGCTGCTGCGGATGTACACGCAGAACATCGACGGGCTGGAGAGACGTAGGTACTCCCAAACCTCCCTGCAGTCCAGATGGGCTGTTGTGCTTTAACGTTTGCTCTGCTGTTTGTGGCTCAAGTTGCAGGAGTTCCTCCGGAGATGCTGGTGGAGGCCCACGGCACGTTTGCAACGGCCACCTGCACCTCCTGCCTGCGGAAATATGACGGCGAGGAGCTCAGAGTGAGTCACAAAGTCTTCACTTCACTTTATGAATGTAATGGATTTGACTTAAATGGGACTGAAAATACACCACATTTGGCTAGTTGGGATGAAATTAGCAACATGCTAAAATCTTGCTATTAAGGACTTCTCTGGGAACTTTGTAGCTGGCAGCCATCTTGGTAGGTATGAACCAACGTGCCATGTTTTCAGCCAGAGGTGATGAGCGGGGCCGTCCCTCGCTGTCCCACCTGTAAGGGCGTGGTGAAGCCTGACATCGTGTTTTTTGGGGAGGAACTTCCTCTGAGTTTCTTCAAGTACCTGACAGATTTCCCGCTGGCTGACCTGCTGATCGTCATGGGAACGTCGCTGGAGGTGAGCGTCACAGCAACCAAACATGATGACACTTTGTTTTCTTCGCTCCACATCTTTTAAGAGACATTTGTAAAATGAATTCGACAGACATGATTATTTAGTAAAGCAGCTCCTGAAAGCAGCACAGCACACAGACAACGTTTCATAATATCCATTTCCATCTGTGATTATGCTTAGCTTGCATATATAACATAAGCTGTATATATGGACGATACATTGTCCCAGAAGATTTTGTGATAAACAATATTATTGTTGTTTTGAAAGCATTTTCAAGTAATGGTGTAATAATGCAATGACACTCTCTTATTTAAGTCCTAATGAGAGACTTAAATGTCTTCCATTTAAAATAAGAGACTATTTTAAATGGAAGACATTTAAAATATCCAACATAAATAAGCAAAACAACAGAAACAACATAAAATAAATGAGGAAGTCGTTTGAATTGTCTTTCAAAAACGAAGTGCTAATTGAGGCCAAACTGAAAACGTTAGTCACCCAGTTTTAATCAGCCTGGTTTACTTTATCATGTGATTGATTTATTGATTATTACTTATTGCGGCAGACCAACATATGTAAATATACAATCCTAATCTGCTGTACATTGTTTCAGCATCGGCAGGGCTTTTGGGCGGCCGGTTTCGCGCTGAAAAGCCTCGTTTTCCGCAGGTGGAACCGTTTGCCAGCCTGGCGGGAGCCGTGCGCAGCTCCGTGCCCCGCCTCCTCATCAACCGGACCTGGTGGGGCCTTTCGCCTGGGGGCGGCGGCCTCATGACGTCACTCGGCTGGGTGACGTGGTCAGCGGCGTGAAGGAACTCGTCGACGCTCTGGACTGGGGTCAGGAGCTGGACGCTCTAATGGCGGCCGGAAGTCAGGAAGTTTGATGGTTTTCCTGGGTTTCCGGGTTTGTTCAGGTTTGTTGGTTCTTCAGAAGGAACTGAGCAGAACTCGGTTTGATTGTTTGCTCTCAGTTTTATGAGAAATCAAAGTCTGTGAGGTTCAACAGTGAACGACGGCCGCCGTAGATCATAGAAAAGGAAGAGAAAATTTCCGGCAAAAAACTCAAAAATGTTCAGGTTAATTTTAGAAACTTTCTAGAAAAAACATGAAGATTTCTGAGTTTTAAAAGTCCAACAATTTGCTTGAAAAAATCTAAATTTTTAGATTAATCTTCAGATCTTTGAGGAAAAAATCCTGGGAATTCTTGAGTTTAAGTCGCAAATTTGCAAAAAAAAAAAAAAACCCAAACAAACAGAAGTTTAATCTCAAAAAAACATGGAAATTTCTGAGTTCAAAAGTTGAACATTTTCCTCTTTTGAAATTTCAGATTTTTTGGCTGAAATTGAACATTTTTTTCTGTCTCCAAAGGCGCTAATATGCTGCTGCGTTCTGGTCTCTATTTTACGACCTTCACCATCGTGGTCAGATGAACAAATAAGGTTTTACGTCTTGAATATTTTAGTCATGTTTTAATTTTTAGTTACATCTAAAATTTGTTTCATTTTATTTGATGTTTCTTTCTTCTGGTTTCTTTAAACAAGAAACTTTCAGCTCCGCTAACTGAATATTTGTTTGTGATTATAAAACTGAAATCAAAATGTTTCGGCTCCTTCATCATGGAGAATGTTTGCTTTTTTAAACATTTTGTTATTTATTAAGTCAGATGCATGTAATTTTGACATTTTTAAGCTACTACTGGTTATTGTTTTGCAATATATGTCATTGGCTTAAAAGAATAAATCTGCCAATATCACTGAATAAAACTTTGATGCCATTAAAATGAATTATTTTATCACTATTTATTTATTTAATTTTTCTATTTATTTATAATTGTCTTCCCCTTGTTTCTAAATTTAATTCAGTATTTTCCTTTTTTATTCATTTAATTTTGGTCTCCAGAAATTTCATTTGCACAGTTTTACTCATATTTCTGTATGGAATACCAAAAGTGTCAAAGTGTAATAAATGTTTAGTTTTAGATTTTATATGTTCATTTCTTTATTAAACAAGTGCATCCATAATTTTTTAACTGTCAATCAAAAAGTATTTCATTCTATGTTAACATTAAAATGATTTTAGTATTTGCACTATGACATGATTAATCTCTAAAGCAAAGTGTAGCATGTATTTAACTGGCCTTTGAAGAAGCAAATAAGTAGCAATAAGTCTCAAAATTTGGTTTACAAATATTTTTAAAAAGAGATTCTGAAGAAATTTGACTAATTTATCCAACTTTTGTTCTTATAATCTAATAAAACTCATTAAAAGTGTTAAAACCAGAGATATGTTGTGAATTAATTTTCCATAAATGGAAATCAAACAGGAAAGTTCACAGCGGCCAGCAGAGGGCGCCAGAGTGCAGCTGAAACAGACGGAACCCAGCGGAACCGAAAAGGAAAAACAATAAATGACCAGATTTATGAAAATAAAAGCAGAACTTATATTTACTGGAATAACCGCAGATCTGGATTGTCAGAAAAGAAGACAGAAAAATATAAATTGTTCCCATTGGTGCGTTGATGTGGTGACGTTTTATATCTTTAATCAGAATTTACAGAGTAAGATATGACTGCAGACCATAGCAGATAGAAAACTACATTTCTGCCAAAAAAAAACAGACATTTTAAAAAGTTGAAAATTTTCGACTTCAAATGTTGTTTTTTTCTTGCTAATTTTTTGAATTTTGAAATTTATATTTGCACCTTTCCCTGGATACTCGACCCACTGAGTAAACCACAGACACTCACCTGCAGGCTTTGTTAAAGTTTATAAATTCACTTTGTCTCTACTTTTTGTCATTTTTAGATATTAAATGATTGATAAGTATAAATTATGCAGTGGTTGAGAAGCTTTTCTATAAAAACTTGACGAATACAATAAATATGTTTGAATGGAAGCCGATCAATCAAACAGACCACCCATGTACTAATTTATTTCTTTTTTGTTTTTATTGTTTAATGTTCCAGCATTAACACAATTGCGAAGCTCTGATTTCCATTTCATTTTGTTGCCATGGTGATGGGTCCATTACCAGAAATCCTGCAGAGAAACAAAAGAGCCCTCACCTTTTTAAACCTTCATTGTGAAGGAATACTGTGCATTAATTCAGCTGTTATTTAAACTGGACTGGTGGGAAAGACATGCAGTAAAGTAGAAGAGCAGCTCACTCCTCCTCAGGCTTCATTTATTCAAACAAAAAGGTAAAATTGAAACAGTTTTACACCAAATTTACTGGTATTAAGCTTAAACCAATGATGGAGTGTTAGGGCTACACTGAGAAATAAAACCTAAAATTACAATAATCAAGTTAGGTGGACCGGAGTTCATTTTTTGGTTTGATTAATTATTCACACCTCACCAAACTTTCCACACATACACACCGGTATTTGGTTAAAGTGGACTAAACATGGCGGGTGTGAACACACCTTCAGTTCTCCTGCTGAATATTTCACCTTAAAACCCAACAAATGGATTATGCAACACATTTTTAAATAGTTGTTGATTTTAGTTCAAACCACAGCTGTTCTAACTTCCTGCAACCTCTAGCTGGACTGCAGACAGAATGGATTTACATTTAAATTGGCTTTAGGTGCCAATAGGGGGCGTTGCAGCTCAGTAACATCCCTTCATCCTTTGTGAACAGATTTAAATGAGTAGAAGTGACTGTGAAGTTTCTAATAAATTTGTTGTCATCTGTAATATAATAATAATAATAATAATAATAATAATAATAATAAAATAAAATAATAATAATAATAAATACATTAAATCTAATACTCTGGGATTGGGATAAACGGCAGAGATCTAAATGTATCTTTTATTTGAACCTGAACAGGTTGTCAGACTCTGAGTTCTGTCGGGTTTTTCTGATCTGTGTTGCAGGTCATTACAGATCCGACAGACTCCTACAGATTCTTAAATCAAATCCTTGTTACCTGATTTGTCTTCCCATCTGGAGCAAAATGCATTTCAAGGTGCTGCTTTGAAAATAACAAGTAATGTAGTTTTTGTGAAACCTTTTCTGTCTGTGTTCATGTTCTTCTCAGAGAAAAACTTTAAAGCATTTTGGTTATTATTCGTCATCTGTCTCACTTTGCACATGGTTTGTTTTTGATTGAGATGAGCTGTTTATCATCATTAGTTTTAGATGAGAATATGTTTTATTCTTGGTTTTGTTACTGCTTCTGAAAAAACACACCCAACCACTTTTTGGCAATAATTTTATGTTTTTTGGTGTCTGGAAAACGAGCTGTTTCAAAAACTTCCAGAACGGAACAGTAGGCACTGCCTGTCACCATGGTGACAGGCACTGCCTGTCACCATGGTGTGGAAGTCTGCCTGTTGCCTAGCAACCCCTGTGGAAGTCTGCCTGTTGCCTAGCAACCCAAGCGAAACGCCACCCATGTTCAGTCAGCTGATAGCGCTGTACAATGGCTGCTGGCTCCCATAATCTTATAACTTTTTGCCACATGACATTTCGTCTAATATCTATTTTTGCAACATTACGACGTTTTTCTCACAACGATCTCATAATATTTGTTGTGTAACTTTGTTCTTGTAACATTATATTAATCTCAAAATATTCTGAGTTTTTATTTGTGTTATTACACATTTATTGTAATATTTTTGACTATTTGTTATATGACTTTATTCTTGTAATTTATTTTTCTTTGCCTGGCACTAACAGAAGTTGTAACAAAAATAATTTATGTGTTTTTGTTTATTTTTTGACAGGCCTTTCTGGGCTTCCATAGGATTTTCCTGATTTATTTTGTTGCCCAGCAGCAGAATCCAGCTGTGAACTATATTCTGGATAATAAAACTTTTCCTCTGCCTTAAGGTCTAAAACATATTCTGAGATGTGTTTTTGAGAAATAAGGTTTTTCAAGTGAGGACATTTCACAAGTCAGAACGACTCAGGTGCAGAACTATTTAAATCTAAAGGAATAAATCGCAAAGAAAAGTCTAGTTTCTGACCTCAGACTCTCTGTTTCTGCCTCGTCCTGCTGACGGAGCAAACATAAAGACATTCAGAGCTGAAAAGGTGTCCAGCATCTCCATTTATTGCCTCTCCAGCTCTGCCATTTATATCCTGCTCACAGGAAGTCATTCGTCCACTGAGCAAATTTAGCATCATGTAATGATGCATGAAACACCAGAAACAGCCGACTGCTGTCTGCTCACCAATCAGTCACCGTCTGAAGTATTCGGCTGCGACAGATGGAGGTTAGAGGAGACTCAGGCGGTGAGGTTATTCTTCATGTATCTAACAGAAAATGCTCTCTGGATGTGAAGAGAATCACCAGTTTGGGCCGTTGCCAGTGGTTAAGGCGTTATAACAGGAAGTCAAATTTCTTTAGTCATGTTTGACATATTTAGCATTTTTATAGCAACTGATGGTAACAGTTACTTGATTGTGATGTGAATTTCCACTATGTGACTGGAGAACCCATAACACCTTTAAAAGCTGTTTGATTCAGTTAAGAGATTAAAAACTGGACGCTGCCTCACCTCGATTAGTTCTGGTTCTGGTTACAATGACGTCGTTTTTCCAGATAAACAACTCTGGAACAAAGTTGAGTTCACATATGTTGGTGTTTTGTTGAGGGTCCGTTTCTCCTCTCTGGTCCATTTCTGACGTCTTCTCTAACCTTCCTGCTGCAGGACTGCAGCAGAGACATTTCTGCTTAATATTTAATAGCACCCGTGTGCGTCCTCTGGTGTCCAATTTGCAGGTCTCAGCTGGGTTTCTATTCAGAACTCGTCTCATTTAATGTAACATCTATCAAAAAGCATCGCTGTTGGTGAACCAGACTGCTCTCAGTTCCTTCATAAGCTTCAAGTATTTCAGTTTTCTCTCACAGAAATAAAAATCTGCTCTTGTGTGTTGTCAAAAACTTGCTACACCTAAAAAAATACCAAAGTATGAAAAAACTGCTGCTGTAACTAATGAAAACTAGCAAACACATGATAAATGTCACCAAACTGAAGCAGAAAAACAAAACAAAAACTTCCAGAGCAGAACATGTGAAATCAGGAGGCGCTGCCCGTTACCTAGATACCGTTACCTAGATACCGTTACCTAGATACCGTTACCTAGATACCGTTACCTAGATACCGTTACCTAGATACCGCAACGGAACTCTGCCTGTTACCTAGCAACAGGCAGCAACCTAGCAACATTTTCAACACGATAATCACAGAATCGGTTCGATTAATCGGTTCGATTAATCGGTTCGATTAATCGGTTCGATTAATCGGTTCGATTCCGGACAACATTTAGATTTTCTGCTGCTGTGATTCTCTTTCATGCAAAACTTAGCATCCTAGCACTTTAGCATTAGCTTCTGCTAAACACCATGTTGGTGTTGCACTTCAGTACAACAGACCAGAGCCAGGCAAACAACACATAAAATTACAAAAAATATCAACTATACAGTGTAAATAATACGAGAATAAAGTCATAATATTATGAGAATAAAGTTGAAACAAAACTGAAGTGTAAATAATATGAAGTGGAACAATAAAAAAAAAACTAGGTCAAAATATTACAAGCATTTAGTTGTAATATGAGAATAAAGTAATACAATTTCACAATATTCTCATCATATCACAACTTTATTCTCATTTTAACTTTATTATTGTAATATGACTTCATTATTGTTTTATTCACACTTTATTTTCATTTTATTTTTAAACATTTTCTTAGCGTGGCCCCAATACTTTGTTGTACTTCAGCGTTAGCAGAACTGAAGTTTATGGTTAGTGCTTTAGCATTAGCGCA